ATTTCTTTTTCAAGGGTCCCAACCTGTTATTCCGAGAAAATGGGGCTCCCACCTATTAAAGGTTTTGAGGGAGCCTGGCTCTTACTGGCCATGCCAGGAGCAGCTCTTACCGGCCATGCCGGGAGCAGATGTTTCAAGCCTCGTGCGGGGGAAGGAAATGTAAGAGGGCTGGAGATAGTAGGTGGAAATTTGGAACGGATTCCCGTCTCCCGTTACACACTTTCACCCTTTTTCGCACGGAGACATTATTTTAAAAGCACAATTTAGAGCACCTTTTTTCAAAACATGATACATGAGTCCATGACAGGTAGAAAGTCCACAATACCACACAATTCAAGGGTCCTAAGATCACTAATTCACACAATCAACCAACACAATATGAGGAAGAAAGGAGACTTCTTAAATGCATCAACATCCTCCATAGTGCTACACTACCTCCCTAGGTTGCATATTACTATAAAGACTGTCAATTCAAAGCATAATGAGTAGGCAATTGCAAGGAACACGTGCTTGGAGCCCTCAAATCAAAATTTGGACAGTGGACTAGGCTCCAAGCACACACATACAGCCAAACATTCACATGCATACATAATCGAACATCCCCCCACACTTAAGCACGACATTGTCCTTAATGGAGGAAAGATAAGGAGGGTAGAACAAAGTTACCAGATCAAGGGTGAATGATGGTGGGCGGGGCAGGCGGTGCGTTCTAGGAGGAGAGAGTAGTTGGAACACAAACACCACACAAAATCTAACAAAGGTTGAGTTATTGACTCTAAAATCAAAGAACAAAACTGACTCCACCGAGGAGAGATAGGGAAAGAAATGTGAACCGACTAGTTGGGTTGCCTCACAACAAGCGCTTCTTTCACGCCGTGAGCTGGACGGTAGCTCCTAAGTTTCGGTCCATGCTAGAACCTCTTTGAAGTTGAGGTTCTCATCTATGAGGTGGAGTTTCAAGTCACGAGCAGGTGGTGTGGCAGGTGATGAAGGCTTGTGCACTTGATGCAGCTGAAGTCTCCACCCTCGATACCTCTTCCTCGTTTCTACTCTTGTCTCATTGCCCCAGACCAAATATAACCGTATCGACTGACCACCATTGCGTCCACCAAGAGGGACTGATGTCGATGTGGTCTTGGTCTGGCAAAGAGACACTGCAAATGGGTCCTTGCTAAGCAGTTCCTTGAAGTTTGGTGGGGATATTACTTGTATTATAGGGCCGGTGCAAGCCTCTTCCACCTCAACTTCATCCTTAGCCTGGACACCACTCGCTTCTTCAACCCCCCTTCCTTATTCAAAATGTGGTCTCTCTCCTTGGAAAAGATCAAGAACTACCTCTTCTTTGCTTTCTTCCTCATCCTCCACAACTTCTTTCCTCACCCTTTCTCTCTCTTCTTCTTCCATAACGGATTGAAGAGCAAGTCGCCATGCAAGGTTCTCAATAAGTTCCGCTTACATCTCCTCGCTCGAGCCCAGCATGTCAGAGCGGAAATGGGGAAAGTTGTGATCTAGCACCAGAGGATACACCTGATCATGATTATCATGGGAGCATTCCGTGACAACTTCTGTCTGCTCAACAATGTCTTCGTAGCCTTCGTCTTCCTCCTCCTCTTCTAGTATGGTATCATAAGGTTAATCTTGATTAGGTTGTGCATAAGATTTCTCAAGATCCTCGAGGCTCTTCTTAATGCTCAGGAGGATCTCTTCTGTTTCACGATAGGCATGGGTACAAAGATCTATCTTGGAGTATGATCTCTCAGTGTCTCGAGCAAACTGTTCCACGAGAAGCCTCAATTCATAGTTTGGATCTGGCCGTGGAGTGTACCATGGCTCTGCAGAATGGCCCGTGAAGGCCGCCATGGCCAACTCCAGCTCCGATGGCCCTTCTGGTTGTGAGAGAAATTCTTCTTGATAAGGAGGTTGTTCTTGATATGCCCAGGGGTCTGATTGTTCTCCATAGTAAGGGGGTAGGTACTGGAACCCCGAATCCATAGTCTTCTCCTCCTTGATTGCTCCAGGAAGTCTCGGGGTAATATCACTCCGATGGTGGTGGATACCCCCAATGGTTTGAAAGCCATGAGAATCCATGATTCAGATCTGCACCAACAAAACAAAAACACCCAAGTGAAAAGCAAGGGTGGAAAAGAAAAGAAAAACGCTAAAGTAACAAACTTGTGCCTTTCCTAATAATCTAGAAAGTCCCCGGCAACGGCGCCAAAAACTTGACTCGCTACGACACAACAACTAACAATGGCCAAGTGTAACCAATGAAAGGGACTGCAGTATAGTGGCACAAGTAATAAATATTGAATCCACGGGTCTCTAGAGTTACTATTACTCAGCTTCAGTTCATTATCTAGCAAACTAGATTAAGGATTGATTTATTAAACTACTCTACTAACTACTCTACTAATTACAAGTTGGGAACTCACTTAGGTATGATTACCCTTAGCTCCTCAATTAGGTCCAAGTTGTAATTACCTTTGGTTGATCTACTGTTGATTAAACCGCGGAAGATCCTAAATTAGCTTGGAATCTCTTAAGCTGACCAAGCCCTCTTAGACAAAATACCCGGCAGGCGGACTAGCCTTCACCGGGATAGACTGCTAAGGCGATTCACACATATCTCCACTATTGGAATGAATTCCAGTACAAAGCAGTGAATTGATTGACTCTCGTACAACCAATTCACCACTATCAATCAAGGAAGCTCTCTTAACCTAATCAGATTCTATCTATCATAGTTAAAGCAGAAACCAAGAGAAGATGATCAGGCTTCAATTGACTCAATAAATCATGCCTCAATCGATTATAATCAAACAATATAGCATCCAAAACTTCATACAAGAAAGATCATTACACATGGAACTAGGGTTCCTCAAAACCTAAGTGAAGGGAAGTTACTCCATAGAGAAGAGAGAGACTACAGAAATCTGATCTAGATCTTCAATCTCCATCTCCAAGCTTGATTCCCGAGCTCCAATGGCAAAGAAATCCTCCAAAATAACACCAAGAATGTTCCCAAGTCGCTCTCTCTCTCTCTAGGGTTCGTCCCTTGGGTGTTTGGGAACCAAAACCCAGCTCCTCCTCTCCTTTGGCTTGAATCTGCCTCAAAAACCCGATTCTGGGCAAAACACGGTCGAGGACAGGGCCATGTTTTACTTTTGCCCGCCCGTTTTTTGCCCCCCAGTAGCCCTCACGACACGCCCTCGGTAGTAAAAACACTAGTGGGGGCCAAATAAAACACGACCGTGTTTTTAGGGTAGTCTGCCCGTGTTTTTACTGCCGAACCTGTTCCCCTATATTGAATGCTTTGTTTCTCCCTCGTCCGGACTCTGAATCAGTCGCCGTTTGATCCCAGATGCTCGTAGTCTTGTCCTCTTTCTTTTCATCACAAGCTTGTATGATTATTTTTCCATAAATGAGTTATAAATCCAATCTTCTTCAGGTCATGCCCGAATTTCTTCTCTCGAATTGCCAATTGCTATCCGATTGACTTGAAACTTGTGCTTAGCCTTTCCTTCGACGCTTGGGACCTAAAATGTGACAAAAAACACAACCTAGCATAAAATAGGCCAAAGAAACGATAATGCAAGCTTAAACGATCAAGAAACAAAGGGGAAAACATGTGCAAATATCTAGTCATCAGTAGCCATGTGAGATTTGTGTCGCTCGTTTTCTTCTTGTTTGATAGATCCCTCTTATCATGATGTATAGCATTCACGTTGTCACTAGTGAGGAAGATAGAGGCATAGGTTTAGTCCACGACCCAAAATTTGACTTGCCTTGATTGTATTATCCCCTAGTAAACCCTTTTGAGCCGTGTGTCTAAGGGTCGCTCCCGTTGTAGGTAGCCCTCGCTACTTGAGCTTGATTGATTTAGTTAGAGAGATCCTACTTTCTTCGTGTTTACATCATTATCGAGTCACCATTTTATTTGGAAGCTCCATTCATATGATTTTTCTAAGAATGTGAAGTGAGTGTGGAGGTTGTTTGTAAATGTGAGCATTGTTCCTTAAGTTAAAAAAAATGTAGCATGTGTATATAGCTCTCTATAGCCCTCAAAAACAAAAACAAAAAACAAAAAAAAAAACAAAATCAATAAAAGGGCAAAGAAGAAAAGAGAGTGGCCACCCTAAAAATAATAAAATCTTGAACATGCTCTTAGAAAGGTTGCTTGGCATGCAAGCTATAAGAACACTTACATGTTGTTTCCCTACCACACTCTTGTGCTTGAAATTGAATAGCAAATGTTGAAAGAAAATTTGTTGCGAATAGGTTGGTGATTGGTTGTGTTTTGGAATAGTGAGAAATTTAGTTTTTGGCCGATGCTAGTGGCTATGGTTTATAGAAGAAGGGTCTTGTTACACCCCGCTCTTTTCAAAAGTCAAATTGACTGTATACCCTTGGAAAAGTTGTTAAGTTCCAACCTGGATATTTAAGAGGACTCAAACATGAACTAACGGTTCGAATGGCGTCGAGTTTCGTTGTAAAACGAGGAAGTTAAAGTTGTATTTTGAGGTTTGAATCAAAATACAATTAAGTGGGCTTTGAGTGTGGTGGTTCTACTAATGGTTCTCCTTTGGCCAAGTGGGCTTGGTCATAGCCTCCATGGGCGGCCCATTGGTGGACAGAAGAGAGAAGGGGAAAGAAGTGGGCCAAGCCCTTGTGTGGTGGGCGATGAGAAGAAGAAAGAAAGGGATGAAAACGTAATGGGCTTAGCCCGAGTGAGGGAGATAGTGGCCTTTAGGCCCGGCTGGAGAGAAGGGGAAAAGGGGAGATAGGAGGAGGAAGTGGGCTGAAGCCCGTTTGGGACAAGGAAGAAGCAGGGCTTTGGCCCGGGAGAAAGAAAGAGAGAGGGAGCGGGCCCAGGGCCGCTGGACGGGAGGAGTCGTTCTCCTCTCGGAGAATTCGACAGAATCGAAAGAAAAAAAAAGAGAACAGCAGAGGAAGATGAACGGAATCGGAGTTTCGCCGGGAAATCGGGGGTAACGGACGCCCGCTTTAGGGAGGGGTTTTCAGCAGATTTTAATAGGCAATTAATAGGGGATAGTTAATCGATTGAGATCATGGTTATAAAAAAAACAAGGATGAAGTACAGGGGAGGAACAGAGAGTGCGAGGAGGAGAGAAGGTCGTGGTGGGCAGTTCCGACGAACACAGCCACAGGATCAAAATGAAGAAGATGACGTGATTCCTGAGAAGAGGAGGAAGGCGTGCGAACCGTGGACGCGCGAGGAGTTCCAGGAACGCAGCGGCGACGATGAATCTTGACGTTGACTTCGACGTTCGTGTCATTTCCGGCGTCGACAAGGCGAGTAGTGAAGCAGGGCAAATGGAGAGGGTGAGAGCCTACCCTCCAAAGCGCCGGGGAGTTTCGGCAATCCGTCATTGGCCTCCGAATTGTGGGCCGAGGAGAGACGAGCTGGTTGCCGGCAGCGGCGGTGAAACAACGACAATGGTGACCGTTGGGGAATCGTTGCTCGAGGAAGAAGAGGAGCCAGAGGAGTGTGATTGTTGTGAGTTCGAAGATGGGGAGGAGGACGATGGTGGTGGAGGCCGGAGACAGGACAGCGGTGGCAACATCGACGACGGCGAGAAGGTGAGAAGATCCCTCCTGTAACTTTGGAATTTCGATGGCATAGTCTAGAGAATTAGATGAATAATTGAGGGTAAATTGGTCTTTTAGAGACAAGGGCGGTTTGGGAATTTTTTTTAGAATTTTGGGTGTCAATTCGTAAATTACCATGGCAGGGATTAATTCGTAATGGGTGAAGGTTTGGGTACCGAATTGAAGTAAGCCAACTGGACTGGAATGTTAAATCAGAAAGTTGAAATTGGCATGGAGGACTAAATTGTACAATTCTGGAAGTTGGGGGCCGAATTGGTAAAGGTCAGGAACTCTGGGTACCATTTTGTAATTCGTCATTTTGGGGCAAATAGGTAATTTTCCAGAATTTTGTGGGGAATCCTAGGAAAGATTAAATGGAGGAATTTGGGTTTGGAATCAACCAAATTTGAGGTCGTTTGATTAGTTACGTTTGTAGAAAGGAGTATTAAGTTTTGCCTAAATACTTAATAGGAGAATTTGCAAGGAGATGATTGAGCGTGGAATCTCGGACGATGACATGGATCAACCGGCAATAAAGAGGGGTCGTATTGATCAATCAAGGTCGGCTAATAAGGTGAGTGTAAAGGGGGGTAAAATCTCCGTCGAGGTCTTTTAGTTTATGCCTTTTTAATTCAGTTATGTTATTTAATTTTCAAGTAAGCGCGATTGTGTTTGTGAGGTATCCCACCGCCTACTTAAGGTGGAGGCACGCGTTGTGCTATGTATGTATGTGTTTATGATGTATGGTTGATGGTATGAGGAACCCCCGGGCGGTTGGGCCACTACTGGACGTGGTAGATGGTCGGGTCACTACTGGACGGCGATACGTAACGCAGTAGTTGACCGGGCATGGACTGGACGGCGATACGTAACGCAGTGTCATTTCCTTGAGGATAGGGACACCGGACGGCGACACGTAACGCGGTGATTCCCTAGTATAAGTAAGTTAAGGTAGTAGTAGTAGAGAACTTCTATGGCTTAAGGTTAAAAGTTGAAAACCTCTATGAGTTAAAGTCGAAGTGAGTTGTTAAGGATGAAAGTGAGAACGACTTTCATCTAAGGAAAGGAAACGCTAATAACGTGTTTTAGTAAGGAGATTTCTAAGGGCAGAGACCTTAGGAAGTAACGACGAGACTGACCCCTTCTCACTCACCAGGTTGAGTTGGGTTAGCGGAAGTGCATCCCGAGAAGAAGTAAGATGAGGTGACCGGACGTGCCAGTACTAGTGATATGTCAAGGAGCTGGGTGAAGAGTAGAGTTAAAACTTGAAAGTTATTTTATGATTATGAGTATATGTACTGGAGATTCAAGGTTCAAGATGCTGGGCTAAGTTGTTTAAGTATTTGGATTTTGATTGCCCAAGTGTTAGGGCTTTTCGTTTGAACTTCTTAAATAATGTCAGTTTGTTTATTTTAAAAAGTGGTTTGGTTGCTCCGGAGTAACCGGTTTTTGGTTTGAGTTATGGTTTGGTTTTTGAAAAGAGACGGGACGTGTCAGGTCTAGTCGAAACCTTAGAACCTTGTTTTGGTTTTAGGTTGAAGATGTGGAACATCATGCTACGTTTGCCACCACCCAAAAAGCTTTTTCCCCATGTCCAAGACAACAACCAGTAATTTGAACCCGTGTCTAAGACCTCCGGACAAGCTAGTGATGACACCCATCCTTGTGAGCTCTAGCATTTAGAGGCTACTGTCATGGTGAAGAGACGATAAGGCTGAGCGTTTGAGTATGAACATCTTTTCCATCAAAATGGTCCTGACCCCATTGGTCGAGAGTGAGTGATTTATTCATCATGCTTTGTTATTATCATGTATCCCGGCGAGTACATAGTTTTCTCAGTCATTGGTTCCTATTACGTGATCTTTATGCATGGTTAACTGTGATTGGTGAGTCGTCATTATAGGTTTTGTTTTGGTTTGTGCAGGGGCGGACCCACTCTTTGTTAAGCCTTGTCAGTTGACAAACCTTACTTATTAAGTTGGACCAAATTAAGTTGTAAAAATTATATTGTTTTTGGTAGTATTGTCACCCTCTCTAGTTTGACAACCCTTACAATTATTTCAAATCAGTTTTTCCATTAAAGCCACAATCTAATTATTGTTGAAAGAATACAAAGCAAACATACGTAAGCACCCAAAAGTAATTCATTAGCCTATTATAACAATTGATGGGGTATATTTCTCGTGAGCTATGAACCCTACAAAGATTTGCGAAGAATTGATGAGATTAGCTAGACAAATGATGGAGACATGAAATGATAATAATTATTATTCTTTCGTATACTGCTTCTAACTTTAGTGTTGATTTTGTTTATTGCAACTGCAAGTGTTGAGATGACCTTTTCAGTTGAAATTCATCAAGAATGATCTTTGAAATCGGATGGGGGATCAATTTATGAATGATTGTGTAGTTATTTTCGTTGAAAAATGTGAGAGCCACAACATAAGTGATGAATGTATTATAGAAATTTCTCAAAATATGAAACACATCGGGGTTCACTGTGAAAAACAATAAATCGATGTATTTGATGAATTAGAACTTTTGAAGTAAATTTATTTAATTATTTTTAGATTATTTTTATTTTTGGTGAATACCCTTAATTAAATTTCTGGGTCCGTCACTGGGTGTGTGAACAAGATGAGAACTCTTCCTTTCCAGGGTTCTATTGCATTCAAATGTCATTGGTGGTGGTTGTTAGGATTGTTGTTGATGTTGTCCATATGTTGAGGTATAATAGCCATTGAAATTCACATGTTTAGTGCCCTATGACATGCCCCAAAGTTTTCAAGAAAAAAGTTGTAAGCTTACCTTGTTTTATACTTGGTTTGCTTGGGGACAAGCAAACGTTCATTTCTTGATTGTTTGACTTTGTTATCATCGTACCTCGACCTATGTTACGCTAGGTTGTGCTTCTTTTATCACATTTGAGGTTCTAGTACATGTGGGAAGGTCCGACGACGAGTTTCGAGTCATTCGGAGGTCAAAACGAGCCAAAAAGTGGAGGATGAGCACTGTTCACGGGCTGGCGGTAAATGACACGCCCTTAGACCGTGAAAATCACCCCCATGGAGTGAAGAGCAAGACTTTAAGGGCAAGACTCATTTATCACGATCCCAAGACCGTGATAATCACCCACAGACCGTGAAGTGGCCAAATTCCAGAAGCAAATGCACACCTCGCGAGATGCCAGTCATTTCACGGTCGCTAAGACAGCAGCGGTGAGAGATAAATGAGAGATGTTTTTTGGAGAGGAATTAGTTTCTTTCTCTAGGGTTTTGACCCAAAACACCAAAGGGTAGTTCTAGAGAGAGAGTGTGTGTGAGTTCTTGAGTGATCTTGGAGCTTAATGGAAGGCATTGATCAAGCTTGGAAGCAAGGACTCAAGCCTAGAAGAAGAAGATCTTGGGCTCCAATTTGTAATATCTCTCTTCTCTCTCTAGAAACTCGCCCTCTTCTCTTGGGTTTAAGAGCCCTAGGTCTAGATTTTGGTTTGTTGTTGATGTACATGACAAATTCCATGTTTGATTGATGATTTTACATAATTGATGGATGTTTTAATGAATGGCATGAGTTGGGTTTCCATTTTCATGTTTTGAGCTTTTAACCTAGGAGGGAGATAATCCCCTTACAACACACTATTGGCGTCTTTGGGTCATTCCTCATCCTATATCGTACCGGTAAACCCCGAGGGAGTCAATTACATCAATCTCCTACGATATAGGGTTGCCCTAGGTTGAATAGAGCACACCCCATTCATCGATTCGTCGTTCTGGGTCATCCTCGAGGGAGTCCATCTCCTAATGGTAGAGTATTTGAGTCGATCGATCTAGGAGGATACCCAACATCGATCCAAAGGACGGACCTAGGACGATTCACTATCCTAGTTTGGCTAGGTAACAAACCCTAAACCTAAGTAAGGTAAGCCTAGATCCTTGTGGTATGATAAATTATTATTACTTGCATGCCCTATGCTACACCCGGTCAACGGTTATACTTGGTCGTCAATCGGGATGTTGTAGTTGGAATGAGCCAATGATCATGGATTCACGATCATGTACTGCTTTCTTCATGTCTCCACTTTGTGCTATCATCAATGACTTGGTCTCCATGGCACTAGATCCTCTTTGCACACTCTTGCTCATGCTTGAGACTCTTGCTCCTTCTCATTGTTTATGGAGTTGATCTTCAAAGACTTCCTTGGGAGATAGGGGCTTCAACATGATCTTCTTCCCATGATGCGACAATGTGACTTGTTTGTAACCCCTTCGTGAAGTGCACTTCGATCATATTGTCATGGTCTTCCAAGTAGGACATGTGCTGCTTGCATAGGCTCACAATGGATCTCGTCCTTGTATCTCCTTCAATTTAAAACTTAAATATGGCTTGTTTTGTGACATCGATGGCTTAATGATCATTAAGTCATTGAAGTGTATAGGGCTTGGGATGCTTTAATGTGCTCAATCCCAACTTCTTAACCGCACTTGCACTCACAACATTAGTGCAACTTCCACCAACTTCTTAACCGCACTTGCACTCACAACATTAGTGCAACTTCCACCATCAATCACCATTGAGAGAAAAATTCAATCTACCATGCACCTTGTATGGAACAAATTCTCTCGTTGTTGAAGCTCCTCTTTTGGTTTCACACTTAGAATTCTTCTAGCCACGAGAAGACTTCCTGGTGGTGCCTCCATCTCTATTGACTCATCATCCACTTCAGAATTCGAATTTGTGTTCTCTTCCTCTTTAGATTTTGAAACATATTCTCCATTCTCGAACATAACTAGAGCTCGTTTTTTGGGGCATTGGTTGGCCATATGTCATCTCCCATGACATTTGAGGTATTGAATGCCTCCACTAGAGCCTGTGGGTCTTTCTCTTGGTGCTTCAACCTTTGTCGCCGGTTTTGGAGCTTCTTGTTTCAATATGAATGGCCTAGAGTTTGAAGTTGAAGGCACTCCTGGCCTTGGTCCACTAGAGGGATATACAAACCTTCTTCCAAGGTTGCTTCGTTTTTGCCTCTCAACTTTGAAAACCATTGCCACTAGATCATCCAACTCCACAAAAGGTTGGATCTCCACCGCGTTTTTTATCTCTCAATTGAGACACTATAAGAATCGTGCAATGGTCGCCTCACGATCTTCCTCTACATCAGCTCGAATTTGTAGGGCTTGAATATGGTCTAGGAGGAGAAGTCGATCGAGGGAGAGGGACTGCACATGAAGGAGTAAGCCCTGGACGAGGGATGTTCACTTCGAATGGCAGGAATGGTGAGTTCCTAATCACAGTGTACGCAATGAAACCGAGGGTCAACTAGAACCATATGTGCGGGAATATGGCTCGTTCCCTTGAGGAAGATGACGTCTCCACACTCGAGACATCTCCTTCACTTCATCTCTTGTCTCATTACCCCAAACCAGATATATCAACATCGATTGTCCACCAAGAGGGATCGATGCTGATTTGGCCTTGGTCGGGCAAAGGGACACTGCAAACGGGTCCTTGCCAAGCAGCGCATTGAAGTTTGATGGAGATATCACATGTAACCCATTGCCGGTGCAAGGCTCTTCCACCTCAACTTCTTCCTCAGCCTGAACACCAATTGCTTCTTCAACCCCCTTTCTTCTTTTTCCGAATGTGGTCTCTCCCCTTGGAAAAGATTAAGAACTCCTTTTTCTTCTCTTCCATCATCCTCAACTTCTTTCCTCACCCTTTCTCTCTCTTCTTCTAATCATGATTATCACGGGAGCTCTTAGTGACAACTACTGTATGCTCCTCAACATACTCATGATTGGCTTCTTCTTCCTTCTCTTCTGCTTGTATTGTATCATAAAGACTGTCTTGAGCAAATTGAGCATAAACTTTCTCAATGACCTCTATATGCTCTAGAGGGTCTTCTCTATTTCTCGGCAAGAGCACTAAGCTTGGGAAATGGGCTTGATATGAAGATCCAACTTGGAGCATGATCTTTTGGTGTCTCGAGCAAACTGCTCCACGAGAAGTCTCAATTGTTTGTTCCAATCTGCCAGTGGAGTGTAGTATGGCTCTGTTGATTAGCGCGTGAGAGCCGCCATGGCTAATTCCAACTCAGATGGCCCCTCCGGTTGTGGGAGGAATTTTCCTTGATAAGGATATTGTTCTTCAGGTGCCCAAGGGTATATTTGTTCTTCATAGTAGGGGTTGGTACTACAACCCGAATCCATAGTCTTCTCCTCCTTGATTGCTATAGGAAGTCTCAGGGTAATACCACTCGGTTGGTGGTGGATTCCCCCAATGGTTGGAGAATCCATGAGGATCCATGTTTTAGATCTGCACCAACAAAAACAAAACACCCAAGTGGAAAGCAAAGATGGAAAAGAAAAGAAAAACGCTAAAGTAATCAACTTTTGCCTTTCCTAATAATCTAGAAAGTTCCCCAGCAACGGTGCCAAAAAAATTGACTCACTAAAACACAACTCCTAACAGTGGCCTAGTGTGACCAATGAAAAGACTGCAGTATAGTGGCACAAGTAATAAATATCGAATCCACGTGATGTGATATCGACTAGCGCGATATTCAATTCTCGTGGTCCCAAAATGAAGGTTCGAATTCAACGATTTAAGGATCAACTGGGAGCATTCTTGATGGATAAAATGGAGAATGCATTAAGGATCCAACTTACAACATTTCTTGGAGCCCAAAACGTCATTCTTTTGCTGCCCAAGTCATCCAAATGTGAAAAGGACATGGAAAGAGATTGCTTAACCACTAAAGAGCTTCCTTAAGCATTAAAAACGTGTTTGGAGATTACTTAGCTGCTAAGGAGCTTCCTTTGGTCATAAAAACGAGTTATAGTCCTTATTTAAGTAGTATTCTTTTTCCTAGTTAGTTTGGGATTTGTTTTCCTATTCCTTTTAGGCTAGATTTATGTTTCTATGACCTCTATAAATAGAGGATGTAAGAGCTACGAATTTTGTACCCAATATTCAAGTTTCAGCAATCAAATACAAGTATTTACAAGTTCAAGTGAACGTTTTGCTTATTCGCTCCTTTGAGGATTCGGGAGGTTTGAGTGGTCTCTTATCAACTAGAGAACGCGTCTAGTTGTGGCGAGCATCGACGATATCGATTGGCCTCTTCTACGGGTTCGAGATTGTTTGGAAGGTTTCATATACCTTCTGGCCCTTCTCAAGAGTTCGGATTTGTTTGATCGATTCCGCAAGTATCTGTATTTTCGAGTTCAAGAAAGGCGGCATCAAGAAAATCAAGAAAGTCAAGAAAATCAAGAAAATCAAAGAATCAAGAAAATTAAGAAAAGATCGTTTTCAAGAAAATCAAGAAAAGATCGTTGGAGCTGCGTACTTTGGTCTTATAATCCGAGTTCGAGGGTTATCTTCGGATTTGGATCATATCAAGTGGTATCAAGAGCCCGGTTCAAACGCAGCGGAGAAGACAAAGATTCTTGGAGTTCTTGGTAGTTCGGGAAGCATTCTTGGAAATCTTGAGCGTCAAGAAAGCAACTCTTGAACGCTCTTGAGAGTTTCTTGTGTGGCAAGGAAGGTATCTTGAAGACAAAGCATTCGTGGGGTTCTTCTTTAGCAAGAAATCATGGCGGAACAAGCACAAGACATTGCAGCAACATTACGACAAATCAGCATGCAAATAAAAGCTTATCATCAAGGGCAAGCACAAATAAATGCGAGCCTTACTCGATTGGCTGTTTCGTGGGGAATTAGTAGGCCAACCATAGTAATCCAAAAAGAAGCTCAGTTGCAGGTCGGGAATTCAAATCCAGAGCAAGAGCATTCTTTTGAGGCTACCATAGAGACACAAGAGACAAGTCCAGAAGTCTTTGACATCAAGATTCAAGCAATTCAACATCAAGACGAGGAGGAGTATATTGAAATCTCGCATATGGAAGGTCGACTTTTGGATACTTGTTGTGAAGAGTATGAAGATTTCGATGAAGTGGAGGCGATACAAGATATTCTTGTTGAAGTTCCATATTTGAGTGCGCAAGAAGTTGACCAACACAATGAGGAACAAGACTGTCATGGAGAAGATGAAGCCACGAAAGTTATGGAGCACTTACCAATAGTTTCCAAAGTTGCTCATATGGATTTTATGATTGGAGATACTATTTCTAAAGAGGAAGCCCGACTAGAGAATCGACGAGAAGTTCAGAGCTACATGGAGTGTTTTCATTGCAATGGTGTCTCTACAATTCGTGGACGAATTGTTCTTAAGAAGGGGGGAATGATACAATCCTCACTACCAAGACAATTTAATTCAAAGGTCAACAAGAGTGGTGCTGATCGAGGATCAAGATTCTGTAAAGATTCGAGGTCGAATCTTCTTCAAGAGAGAGGGAATGATGTGATATCGACTAGCGCGATATTCAATTCTCGTGGTCCCAAAATGAAGGTTCGAATTCAACGATTTAAGGATCAACTGGGAGCATTCTTGATGGATAAAATGGAGAATGCATTAAGGATCCAACTTACAACATTTCTTGGAGCCCAAAACGTCATTCTTTTGCTGCCCAAGTCATCCAAATGTGAAAAGGACATGGAAAGAGATTGCTTAACCACTAAGGAGCTTTCTTAAGCATTAAAAATGTGTTTGGAGAATACTTAGCTGCTAAGGAGCTTCCTTTGGTCATAAAAACGAGTTATAGTCCTTATTTAAGTAGTATTATGTTTCCTAGTTAGTTTGGGATTTGTTTTCCTATTCCTTTTAGGCTAGATTTATGTTTCTATGACCTCTATAAATAGAGGATGTAAGAGCTACGAATTTTGTACCCAATATTCAAGTTTCTGCAATCAAATACAAGTATTTACAAGTTCAAGTGAACGTTTTGCTTATTCGCTCCGTTGAGGATTCGGGAGGTTTGAGTGGTCTCTTATCAACTAGAGAACGCGTCTAGTTGTGGCGAGCATCGACGACATCGATTGGCCTCTTCCACGGGTTCGAGATTGTTTGGAAGGTTTCATATACCTTCTGGCCCTTCTCACGAGTTCGGATTTGTTTGATAGATTCCGCAAGTATCTGTATTTTCGAGTTCAAGAAATGCGGCATCAAGAAAATCAAGAAAGTCAAGAAAATCAAGAAAATAAAAGAATCAAGAAAATTAAGAAAAGATCGTTTTCAAGAAAATCAAGAAAAGATCGTTGGAGCTGCGTACTTTGGTCTTATAATCCGAGTTCGAGGGTTATCTTCGGATTTGGATCATATCAAGTGAACTCTCAAGAGCGTTCAAGATTTGCTTTCTTGACGCTCAAGATTTCCAAGAATGCTTCCCGAACTACCAAGAACTCCAAGAATCTTTGTCTTCTCCGCTGCGTTTGAACCAGGCTCTTGATACCACTTGATATGATCCAAATCCGAAGATAACCCTCGAACTCGGATTATAAGACCAAAGTACGCAGCTCCAACGATCTTTTCTTGATTTTCTTGAAAACGATCTTTTCTTGATTTTCTAGATTCTTTGATTTTCTTGATTCTTTGATTTTCTTGATTTTCTTAACTTTCTTGATTTTCTTGATGCCGCCTTTCTTGAACTCGAAAATACAGATACTTGCGGAATCGATCAAACAAATCCGAACTCGTGAGAAGGGCCAGAAGGTATATGAAAGCTTCCAAACAATCTCGAACCCGTGGAAGAGGCCAATCGATATCGTCGATGCTCGCCACAACTAGACGCGTTCTCTAGTTGATAAGAGACCACTCAAACCTCCCGAATCCTCAAAGGAGCGAATAAGCAAAACGTTCACTTGAACTTGTAAACACTTGTATTTGATTGCTGAAACTTGAATAATGGGAACAAAATTCGTAGCTCTTACATCCTCTATTTATAGAGGTCATAGAAACATAATTCTAGCCTAAAAGGAATAGGAAAACAAATCCCAAACTAACTAGGAAACATAATACTACTTAAATAAGGACTATAACTCGTTTTTATGACCAAAGGAAGCTCCTTAGCAGCTAAGTAATCTCCAAACACGTTTTTAATGCTTAAGGAAGCTCCTTAGTGGTTAAGCAATCTCTTTCCATATCCTTTTCACATTTGGATGACTTGGGCAGCAAAAGAATGACGTTTTGGGCTCCAAGAAATGTTGTAAGTTGGATCGTTAATGCATTCTCCATTTTATCCATCAAGAATGCTCCCAGTTGATCCTTAAATCGTTGAATTCGAACCTTCATTTTGGGACCACGAGAATTGAATATCGCGCTAGTCGATATCACATCATTCCCTCTCTCTTGAAGAAGATTCGACCTCGAATCTTTACAGAATCTTGATCCTCGATCAGCACCACTCTTGTTGACCTTTGAATTAAATTGTCTTGGTAGTGAGGATTGTATCATTCCCCCCTTCTTAAGAACAATTCGTCCACGAATTGTAGAGACACCATTGCGATGAAAACCCTCCATGTAGCTCTGAACTTCTCGTCGATTCTCTAGTCGGGCTTCCTCTTTAGAAATAGTATCTCCAATCATAAAATCCATATGAGCAACTTTGGAAACTATTGGTAAGTGCTCCATAACTTTCGTGGCTTCATCTTCTCCATGACAGTCTTGTTCCTCATTGTGTTGGTCAACTTCTTGCGCACTCAAATATGGAACTTCAACAAGAATATCTTGTATCGCCTCCACTTCATCGAAATCTTCATACTCTTCACAACAAGTATCCAAAAGTCGACCTTCCATATGCGAGATTTCAATATACCTCTCCTCGTCTTGATGTTGAATTGCTTGAATCTTGATGTCAAAGACTTCTGGACTTGTCTCTTGTGTCTCTATGGTAGCCTCAAAAGAATGCTCTTGCTCTGGATTTGAATTCCCGACCTGCAACTGAGCTTCTTTTTGGATTACTATGGTTGGCCTACTAATTCCCCACGAAACAGCCAATCGAGTAAGGCTCGCATTTATTTGTGCTTGCCCTTGATGATAAGCTTTTATTTGCATGCTGATTTGTCGTAATGTTGCTGCAATGTCTTGTGCTTGTTCCACCATGATTTCTTGCTAAAGAAGAACCCCACGAATGCTTTGTCTTCAAGATACCTTCCTTGCCACACAAGAAACTCTCAAGAGCGTTCAAGATTTGCTTTCTTGACGCTCAAGATTTCCAAGAATGCTTCCCGAACTACCAAGAACTCCAAGAATCTTTGTCTTCTCCGCTGCGTTTGAACCAGGCTCTGATACCACTTGATATGATCCAAATCCGAAGATAACCCTCGAACTCGGATTATAAGACCAAAGTACGCAGCTCCAACGATCTTTTCTTGATTTTCTTGAAAACGATCTTTTCTTAATTTTCTTGATTCTTTGATTTTCTTGATTTTCTTGACTTTCTTGATTTTCTTGATGCCGCCTTTCTTGAACTCGAAAATACAGATACTTGCGGAATCGATCAAACAAATCCGAACTCGTGAGAAGGGCCAGAAGGTATATGAAACCTTCCAAACAATCTCGAACCCGTGGAAGAGGCCAATCGATATCGTCGATGCTCGCCACAACTAGACGCGTTCTCTAGTTGATAAGAGACCACTCAAACCTCCTGAATCCTCAAAGGAGCGAATAAGCAAAACGTTCACTTGAACTTGTAAATACTTGTATTTGATTGCTGAAACTTGAATATTGGGTACAAATTCGTAGCTCTTACATCCTCTATTTATAGAGGTCATAGAAACATAAATCTAGCCTAAAAGGAATAGGAAAACAAATCCCAAACTAACTAGGAAACATAATACTACTTAAATAAGGACTATAACTCGTTTTTATGACCAAAGGAAGCTCCTTAGCAGCTAAGTAATCTCCAAACACGTTTTTAATGCTTAAGGAAGCTCCTTAGTGGTTAAGCAATCTCTTTCCATGTCCTTTTCACATTTGGATGACTTGGGCAGCAAAAGAATGACGTTTTGGGCTCCAAGAAATGTTGTAAGTTGGATCCTTAATGCATTCTTCATTTTATCCATCAAGAATGCTCCCAGTTGATCCTTAAATCGTTGAATTCGAACCTTCATTTTGGGACCACGAGAATTGAATATTGCGCTAGTCGATATCACATCACCACGGGTCTCTAGAGTGAATATTACTCAACTTCAATTCATTATCTAGCAAACCAGATTAAGATTTGATTAACTAAACTACTCTATAAGCTAAACTAGGTAAAACTACTAATTACAGGTTGGGAACTAACTTATGTATGATTCCCCCTAGCCCCTTAGGTCCAAGTTGTAATTCCCTATGGTTGTTTTACTGTTGATTAAACTGCGGAAGATCCGAAAATAGTTTGTATCTTAAGCTAACCAAGCCCTCTTACAAAGAATACCCGGCATGCGACTAGCCTTCACTGGGATAGACTGCTAAGGAGATTGACACTGATATCCTCTACTTGGAACGAATTCCAACATAAAGCAGTGAATCTATTGACTCTCGTATAATCAATTCACTACTATCAATCAAGGAAGCTCTCTTAACCTAATAAGATTCTATCTATCATAGATTAAAGCAAAAATCAATAGAATATGATCAAGATCGAATTAACGCAACAAAATATGTCTCATTTGATTATAATAAAACAATATAGCATCCAAAGGTTCAAATAACAAAGATCCTAACACATGGAACTAGGGTTCCTCAAAACCTAAGTGAAGGAAAGTTACTACATAGATAAGATAGAGAATGCAGAAATCTTATCTAGATCTTAAATCTCCATCTCCGAGCATGATTCCCCAGTTCCAATGGCAAATAAATACTCCAAAATAGCTTCAAGAATGTTCCCAAGTCGCTCTCTTTCTCTAGGGTTTGTCCCTTGGATGTTTGGGATACAAAACCCAGCTCCATCTGTCCAAAAATCTCAAAAAATATACTTATACCCGAGCAGCGTGCAGAAACATGGTCGTGCTTCTCAGCCCATGTTTCAGCCCTGCCCGTGTTTCTTCTCGCCACTAAAAACACGGGCGCGGGAGGAAAAAACACGGTCGTGTTTCTTCTGCCATTTTTCTTCCTCCGCTCCTATTCCACTGTCTTTGATGCTTCGTTTCTCCCTCGTTGGTACTCCGAATAAGTCGTCGTTTGATCCCACACGCTCGTAGTCTCATCCACTTTTTTTTCATGACAAGCTTACATGATTATTTGTCCTCAAAATGAGGTAGAAAACCATTCTTTTTCAGGTCATGCTCGAGCTTTTGCTCCCTAATCGCCAATTGATCTCCGATTGACTTGAAACTTGCGCCTATGCTTCACTTTACGTGCTAGAACCTAAAATGTGACAAAGCAACAAAACCTAGCATAAAACAGGCCAAGAAAGCAAACGAGGGTGCAAACATGTGCAAATATGATGCTATCAGGTTTGATGTGGGATTCGTTCGATTCGTACACAGTCAAAATTGAGGGGGTTTTAATTCCATGTGCGCAGAAGGAGGCGGCGACAAGATCCCGGCCTCTCCCTCTCTGTCTCTCAATCTTCTCCGTTTCGCAAGATTCGCCGGCAGAAATGGACAGCAAAGAGGGCAGCCGAAGTTCGTAAGCGAAGAGGGGGGAGCTGAATCAATTGCGAAGCAATCAGGGGTCTCCTCTTGCCTCCCACCTCAACTTCGAGTCGTACATTCAGAGAATTGCCAACAACGAGACCTCCCTCCTCATCCGCCATACCATTAACGCTCTTTCCTTGAGGTAAAAAAATATATTGAAGTGGAGATTATAAAAAGATTAATTATTATTATTATTTAATTGACATGTCACTTTAACAGTCAACTCTTAGAGTTGACTGTCACGTCAAATAAAGTTAACGGAGACCAACGGAGAGTGACCAAATTTGAATTGTTAAACTAATTTTAGTGACCATTAGAATAACATAATTTTAATGACAAACGTGAAAGTTTATAATAATTCCCGTGACCAAATTTGTAATTTACCCTTTACTTTTAATACAAAAGAGTAACACACATAATTAGGTAGGGATATAGTTGGGAAAAAAAAAGCTCAACAATCTCAATCAAACAATCTTAACAATCTCATATAATACTTGAGAGGTAAATTACATCATTGGTCACTAGGATTACTAAAAACGTTAATGTTTAGTCACTAAAAATATTTAATTCCAATAATGGTCACTAAGTTTAGTAAAACATGTCACGTTTGATCGCTCTTCGTTATTCTCCGTCCAACTCCGTTAATGAAGTCCGTTAAGTGCTGACATAACAAACGCTATCGCCCAGTCAATCGGCTTTAACCTGAAAAACACTAAACCCAACCTGCCACATCATCAATACCCGCCACGTCAAACCCACTACATAACAGAAACCAATTCAACCACTGACCGAACCCAACCCAATCTGACCCGCCGCCACCTCACCTCCCCGCCACCGTCGCCTCGCCTCACCACTAACGACAACATCGCCATCTCCCCCAACCCGTCTAAGGTCATCTGTCCTCGCTGTTGACTAGAGTCGATGTCAGGTCATCCCCTCAGATTCAGCGGCAAAGCCTTGGTCTAGCATTGTCGGGAATTCAACCACCAATGGCAAAATCGTCATCTCCCTTGCCCCATCTAGGGTTGGTCGTCGTTGCTGTTGAATAGAAATAGAGGTTGAATTGTTCGACACCGATGAACATAAAGAAGTTCGGCATCCCCGGGAAACCCAGTCCTTCCGTCGGCCATTCTAAATCCCCCAGATCTGATAGCATTCAGCGTCTTCGGTAGTTGCGTCGATCTAGATATGTTTGTTGCGGGAGCAGGAGCTTCTATGAGGATTTCTTCAAGAGAATCTCGAAAGGATTCAGTGATTCCTCGCATCAGTGCTCATCATTTTTTTCATAATCATCTCCGCCGGAGGAATCTCCGAGTAATGGGATTGGGGCAGTAGGGCTTAAAGCTTGCTCCTGCAGCCGGAGAAACATTGGGGCAGCGAGGGAAGAGGCCATGATCACGCGTCAATTAATGGCGTAGGAGAGAATGGAATGGGCGAAGAGGAATGGTTGTTGGAGATTGAGGGAAAATAATGAGCGATTTAAGTCTAGAAAAAAAGGTTGGTGGAGTTAGGGGTAGAAGAAGAGCCAGGGTTATTTTTAAGTTTGTCAGTCAATTGGTGGGTTTGTAATGGGTTGGTAATAGTTTTAATGACGTGGCGGGTTGTGATTATGTGGCGGGCCGGGTTTAGTATTTTTCGCGTTAAATTCGGCTGATTAGGATATTTCGTTTGCTACATCAACACTTAACGGACTTCATTAACGGAGTTAGACGAAGACTAATGGAGAATGACCAAACGTGACATGTTTTACTAAACTTAGTGACCATTATTGGAATTAAATATTTTTAGTGACCAAACATACATATTTTTAGTAATGCCAGTGACCAACCATGTCATTTACCCAAAGTTGAAAAGACTCTTTCAACACTTGTCGTACATCGGTGTTTAAAATAATTTGTTTAATTGTTAGGTTTTGAAAATAATTAGAGATATGAAATGATATTTTACTATTACACACCGTTTAAAATTGAACAACAAATGAGTTGTAGCCTAATGGAAATTATATTTATTAATGATAATAGTGTCCCAAGTTTGAATTACCCAAACTATCGCTTATATTCCCGTATACAAAACTAAAAAATGAGAGTTGGATAATATTTTTCAAATTTCAGAGGTATTCGCAGCTATCAATTATAATTTTTTTGTCGATACTTAAATTACCATCGAGGTTGAATATTCGGTTGTCGGACCGCCCTGAATGAACCGATTAGAAAGAAAGAAAGCTACAAATAATACAAGCTCTATTCCCCTCTCTTCGCCGTTCTTGTTCTCCTCTTGTGTGGTTCATTTTTCATTCCGATTGAGTTTGGTGATCAATTGTCCACTCAGTCACCTCCATGGCATGCTTTCATAAGGGCTTCTGATTGCTTTCCCCTTTCCAAGCATACCAGGCGACGCGAAATTTTCTCTCTCGAAATCTGGGAACGCGAAACTCGATTTACAATTTTGTATGTCTATCGTGTTTCGCCAGATCACTCAAAGCACCGAATTCAGGTAAGAGAATACGTGACGAACCAGTCTAGGTTTACGGTACGCAGATCTCCAGAAGAGGTTAGGGGTTGCCTGATGCTTACGAGACGACAGATTTCGTTTTCAATAACCATGTGGTTTTTACAACATTTTTTTTATGAGAAAAAAATAATTATACTTATACCGTGTGTGTCATTGGTTTCTATTAGGTGAATGATGATGGTGGATGAAGCTGGGAAGGTTAATAGCGGTGATGAATCCGGCGCGCCTCTGTTGGTAAAGTTTTTTTTTTTTTTTGTGCACTTGATGATTTCCTACGTTTCCCCCTCAAGGGTGCTAATGTATTTATGAATTGGGAATGCTTATGAACGATTCTCATTGTTATTGGATATCTTTGTGAAGGCATAGCACGATACTATGATGAGATTTTACTTGTGGAACAAGTGGCTTACATAGAAATCAGTTGTGCCTTATGAAACTTCTCTGCTGTTTTTAAAGTTGGGAGAACGCTTGATTTTCTTATTGGAATAATAATACACAAAAACATTGCATATGTTCGCTTTCAGCAAGAGGATGCTGCCTTGAACAATGATAGTGTTGCCACTCCTCAGCTGTTTACATCCTTACCAACTCTAAATGAAGCTACTGATTATCTTACCCAAACAACTTCATTGATAACTCGTTGCTTCCCTTCAGGTAGTCTCCCAACTATTATTCATTGTTACTTGATTTGAACCTTGTACTTTAGCTCATCTAAGTTGTTTATGGTGCTTTGCTCATGAATTTTTAAGCGGGAATAGGACTTTCTGTGAGGTGTTTTATGTATTTACATAAATGAGAGTATGTTCAATGAGTTACCTTATTCTTCTTCTTGCATTTATGCTTTGGATTTAATCTATTCAATGGGACTAGTTCAATATAGTTACTTCATATTTGTTGCGCCTAGTGTCGTCTTTTTGCAACTCGGTGGGATTTCTGTGTATATTGCAGTGGACTTTTCTACTGGGGATTATGGATATTCAGCCCCTCTTCAGCAGGAACTGGCAACAATCTCACGTGCACACGTCGAGCAATCTGCAGTGGACACTGCAACTTCTGTTCCATCAACTTCAGCCAGTACCCCCCCTTCTGTTGATCGAGTAACAAGATCTTCTTCTCAAGGACAATCTGGGAATGCTGGTGCAATCGTGCCCTCTAGTTATGGTGGACTAAATGGAATTTCTATATTTCAGGGGTATGCTATTAGTTCTTGCCTACTGTTAGATAACTTAGAAAGGTGCAGACAATGATGAAATATTTTGATAATTAGAGAGGTAGTTAGCACTAAGAAACAACTGCTGACTTGATCCACTGACCCCAGATGGTAAGTTCTCAATAATTGAGAGAGAGAAAAAAACGTTTGCAAAGATTGCTATATTACCACAATTTGGATCCTTAATTGTTCCGTCCCTCTGCAGTAATTTTCTGTGTGGGTGATTGTTGTTTGAAATGCTGACAATCTGTATGGAAAATTTTTAGACCTGAAGAATGTGCTACAATGCTTGAAGACTCTTATTTTATAATTCCTACTCAACGTCAATTTCTAGCTTTTACTTTTATTCCATACCTGAAATTGCCAGTCTGGGGACTACTTTCAGACTTATAGAGAGAGCAAGAAGAACTGTCCGTGGCTCTGCTGATGATATAGGGTGGTTACAATGTGCACCAGGGATGCCTCCAGTTGAAGATGGAACTGAAAGGTTTATGGAGCTTCTTGATAGCATAAGGTCTGTTGAATTTATTCTTCTTTTGTGGCAGGTTGTTATATAATTACAAGGCTGCTCATTAATCTTTGCTATTATTCTCAGGCATGGTGTGCACAGGTTGCCGAAGTCTATGGTTTACCTGTTGGTTCCAGGTATTTATTCTATGCAAAAAGTTTCACATCGACATAGTGAAGAAAACTTCTACATTTTTTCTTGAATACTAGGGGCTGTTAATTAGCCAAGCTATTCGCGAGGTATTTTTTTTATAAACGAACTAAACCTGAACAAGACAAAGCTCGGTTCGGCTCATTAGCAGCTCTATTGAATACTATAGGATTCAAAAAAAAAAAAAATTCTTGTAAACAACAGATAACTCTTTCAAGAGGTTGGCACACCATCTGGAATTTGTTCTGCTATTGTTATTCGATTCACGTCTCTTGTTATTTTGCTCTTTACCCTTACAAATGTACTACCTGAGGCAGCCCTCTAAAGTATTTTAGTGCATTCTTGAACATTTCTGAATAAATGAGAATTCTGTATTATATGTAGACATTCAAAAGAGTATTAGGGGTGTCTTTAAGTCAGTTGCGACATAGAATGGCAGGCATGATCAAGTATAAAGTTCAAGCTTATAGGAGATCTTAACTAACAGCTTGAAGACACAAAATTCTATTATTATTAAATAATTGAAAGAGGGTGAAAGAAACTGCCTCATCTAATTATTTACTTATATAAGATAAGAAAATATCCATAGTTGGACATTTCAAATTTCTATTAGGATGTTTTCAGTGATGAAATATGGAGTTGGTTTTTATGCTTTGCTTTGGACTTTCATATTCCATGATATGCAACAAAGTAGCTTAAAGGTATCTATCCTCGACCTTCCAATATTTCGAGCAGGTCTCTTCAGCAACCATGGACCACTTTATTTTGTTAATACGAAACAGTTCTTTTCGAAGATAGGTCTAACCTGTCACATCGCCAAGATTCATAGCGAGGTACTTTCTAACTTTATTTTCCTCCATTCATCATGGTTGTATTTTCATACTTCGATACTAAACTTTTCTGCATAATTGATCAGGCTTCAGTTGAGAAAAATGCCAAAGAGATTTATGAATGCATTGAGGAAATGTATTGGGGCTCAAATAAACGTGTCATGCTTCTTGGACATAGCAAAGGGGGTATTGATGCGGCTGCTGCTCTGTCATTGTACTGGCCCAACTTACAAGATAAGGTAGCAGGATTAGTATTGATACAGAGTCCTTATGGTGGTAGCCCAATTGCATCTGATATTCTACGTGAAGGCCAGCTTGGTGACTACGTTAATGTGAGGAAGCTTATGGAAATCATAATATGCAAAGTGATTAAGGTATAATGCTTCGAGCTAAACCATGAGTTCTTTGTTATAGTTGATCCATTTGTTTCATTTTATATATTTTGTAACTATGCCAAAACATTGAAGGGTGATATGCAAGCCTTGGAGGATCTAACATACGAGAAGAGGAGAGATTTCTTGACCAAATATCCTTTGCCAGAAGAAGTGGCAGTTGTATCATTTCACACAGAAGCCAGTGTTTCTCCTGCAGTTCTGGCAACATTGTCTCGCGTGGCACATGCAGAGTTACCAGTTGTTGCGCCTCTATCTACTGGGCAGCCAACCAAACTTCCTGTTGTGATGCCACTTGGTGCTGCGATGGCTGCCTGCGCTCAGCTGCTTCAGGTCCGGTATGGTGAAAAGAGTGATGGACTGGTGACCCGTCGTGACGCAGAGGTTCCTGGATCAGTTGTGGTCCGACCGGCACGAAAGCTGGACCATGCTTGGATGGTCTACTCGTCGCTAAACGACGACCCTTCTGAGGCAGATGCTTCTCAAGTCTGTGAAGCTCTGCTAGAGTTGCTGGTGGAAGTTGGGCAGAAGAGGAGACATGAAATTGAAAAGAAACAGGAATAAGGTGGGGGTTTTCTTCGTTTCCCTCACGTGACTATACCAACTAAACTGTATGAATGTCGTTGAGTTCAATGTGCTATCATATGGACCCAAAGTGTATAGGGAATAGGATTAGATCAATTTTGTAGAGCCTATACAGGGACTGCCATTATGCTAACACTCGAATAAAACGATGGTGTTTAACTCTTATTGTTGCCTTGCTTCTCCTGTTCGGCTTAATTGCATAGGTTACCACTTAAGTTCACCATTTCCATTTGTTGCTCGATGATCATCTATTACGTTTTGTTGCAACTAAACCATTAAACCACTTATGTCAAATTTTGGTAGCACCATTACCATTTTTGTCTTCATGACAAACGGTAGGTGCCGAAATGTAAATAATCATGCAAACTCGTACTGCCACGTAAGTACGAACTGGTGACTCATATTTGGGGGAAAAATTCAAAACTACCACTATTTAATTTTTTTTTACAAAAATACCACCCATTCCTAAGAAATTCCAAATCTACCACTGTTTAATAAAAACCGCTCCACTCAGGGGCGGCGGTATACCATGGAATCGCCTAGTAGACAAGCGGTTTGTCTTTTTTGGGAGAAACGCTCTTCGAATGAGCGGTTTTAATGGCTGCCCTAGCACAAACCGCGTCCTCTGGGGGCGGTTATGTGTCGGCAAGGTAAAACGCTCCACAAGGAAGCGGTTTACCATGTCGACACATAAACCTCCCCCCCCCCCCCCCAGCGGTTTGTGTCTTGTCACCCGACATCCTACATGTCGCCATGCAGGAGGTTGCAGGGGTGGGGGCTGCATGCCAGACTAAAACCGCTCCACCCCCCTGCGGTTTCCAATGTAAAATTTGCCTATAAAAGACAGGTCCATAAAACTCAAAATCTTCACTCCACTCCTTCTTCTTCAAATTTCATTGTCATTTGCGATTAACGTTAATTCGTAAGTTTGTTTTGTATTACTTTTCATTGTCATTTGTGATTTTTATGTTAGTAACTTAATTACAGTTTTATTGCATAAGGCATTCCAAAAGTTCACGCTTGGGTTGCGGTGGAATGGTTACACGGAAGAGACCGAAAAGGGTGTAAGTTACGTGGAAGGCAATTTTTATAAAATGAAGGTCCGTACGAGACCGATGCTTGAAGAGCTCCATCAAATGTGCACTGAGGTTACCTGCATGGATGGCACTAGAAGAGTTGATCGTATGGTGTATCGATACCCAAACAGACATGGAGGGTCGTTGTGGAATGAGGAATTCCTCATCACCACTCAGGAGGACGTTGATGCGATGGTCCAATTTTTGGCCACCAATAAGATTAAACAAGCAGAGATGTTCGTTTACACCGAGGCGGTAGAAGGCAGTGTAGGTCATTCTGGAGATGGCCAAACATCTGGTATCCACGATGGGAGTGTATTATACGAAGATCATCCCTACCAGGAGTACCAAGACTCGAGCTGGAGGCAGGAATATCATGATGGAACTGGAGGTCATCATCAATCCTTCCCATCATATGAAAAAGAAGCTCAACAGGCGGATGGGAACCAACAAGCAGGCTACCAATACCAACCCGAGTACAACTTCTACCAAAGCGGCGTTAGTTACCACAACTACCATTACGGAGCTGGTGAAGGTGAATGTGCATTTCATGATGATCATCATATGGAAGAAGAGGTCAATCCAAGTCCAGTTAGTGACCCTGAGGTTGAAGAAGATGAAGGCGATGTCAGTGCAGACAGTTTCGATCCTCTTGAAGGTGCTGATGATTCCGGTCTAGATTCAGACGCAGACGGTGATGAGGTACCTCGCGACCGTGTACCTATCACGTACTACAATCACATTCCAAATGAAGATTGGTATGTTGATGCTGACATGGACCTGCAGAGGTGCTAGTATGAATATACATCTCCATAGAAACACAGTCTGTTTGACAGAAAAGGGGGATCCGAGGATCGCTTAGAACCCGATTTTCCCAGGTCATGGGAGGATCATGATGATTGCTTAAGACCCCATTTCCTTAGACATGCATTTCTTTATAAAGAGTTTAAATAAGTGTTGTATTGTATTGATTTAAATTATTGAAAACAATCAATACGATTAACAATTAAGTAATTTATTGAACAAAAAAATAAATTACGTTAACAAAATAAAAATTACAAGTGATGATAAATAATATGTACCTTGTGGTCGTTCCAAACGTCTCTTGAACGATGATTGAATTGATCGTATAAAATAGTCTGATCAATCGGTCCTTGATCAACATAATATCGTTGATTGTATATATCAACATCCGGCCCAACCTACGATAACATAACAACAACATAAATCAATTAGTATATGAATTAAATAAACCATTATAACAACAACAAAAATTAGGTAAAATGAGTACGTACCGCTTGATAATCATCATAGTAAATACCCTCTTCTTGGATAAAATCGGCCATTTTTTCAGGATCCGGACAGAGATTCGACGGTTTTTTAGTGAAAACCAAAGAAAAGATTTTTGAAGGCAGATCGGACTTAACCGGAACCAACAAAAAAATTGCTTCCAAGGTTTTTGGGTGGGGAGGGGGGATGGGTAGAGTGAGAAACTTAGAGAGAGAGAGTAGATTGGGTTTGGTGTGAAGAAAATGAGAGGAAGGGGGTGGGTTTATATAGGGAACGAACCGCGTGCTGGAGGGGTGGTTTGGTATTTTTACCCCACCAAAAACCGTGCCCCCAGCACACGGTTTATGCTCCCAACGCGCAAACCGCTCCCTTGCGCAAGGTTAGCAATCAACGACGCGGATCGCTCTGCTGGTAGGCGGTTAGCCTTCAGATCGCCTGCCTATCGTGCGGTTGCATGGACCGCCATGTGGAAGCACGGTTTGGTAGCTGCCCTATGGAAAAACGCACGTTGCACGCACGATTTGATTGAGAAACGCGCCTTCGAGGCGCGGTTTATGGGGGATGGTGGTAGATTTGGAATTTCTTCGGAATGAGTGGTATTTTTGTAATTTTTATTAAAATAGAGTAGTTTTGGATTTTTTACTCATATTTGGCCCAACTCCATATAAATTCAATAAATAAATAAATTGATCCATCCTCTCTCCCCAAAGCCATCTGACCCCTTCCTTTTCGCCCCCAAACCTTCCCGGTTATCATATTCAATCCTTCAAAAAAGGATTAAATGGAACCGCATGGGCAGGTATCGATCGCCGACGACAGCCGCTAGGCTACGATTGCCTTGTTCCTGCGCGCCTTCACGTCATTACAGCTACAGGTCCCGCCACCATCTTCGCCATCCCACCACTACTAGGGGTGGGCATTCGGTCGGTTTGGTTTCGACCGAACCGAAATTATGAATACTGGGTCCCTGAATTATCCCAAACCTCAAATCAAATTTGAACCAAATTAGAATTCGGTTCGGTTCGAAATTTAACACAAAATCGAATTTGTGAGACTACTTGTATCTTCTCCCTTTTAAATTATTTTTCACCGCACATATAAACAATAAAACTGCAATTATATGCATCATCAATGGTAAAATCAAACATTTCAACACATAAGTCATAAAATATTTCAAATATGTCAGTTTAAAAACAACTATAAACACAAAAATCCACCATTTGGAGCTTGCAATTATAGTAATTTAATTTTTCGGTCGGAAATTCGGTTCTGATGAAAGAACACTGGTTTCCGAAATATCCATATTTCCATTCCGAACCGAATAGCATTATTCGGTTTAATTCGATGTTGATTTGGTTCGATTCGATTTGGGTTTAACGAACCGGTTGCCCACCCCTAACTACTCCCCCACCTTTCGGTTTTCACCTTATTTTACTCTCTCTCTACCCCTGATGTTATATATATATATATATGTGCATAAAGATTCTTGCTTTCCCTTCATTGCTTCCTTCCATCCATTTCCAAGCACAATCATTTTAACATTAAACCGAGGTCAAACCCCTCATTGCCTCTCTCTCTCTCTCTCTCCCCCCACTTCTATCTTTGCAGCTTTCATTAGCTTTGTGGGTGACTCAACCCAAATGCACCACTTAGAAACATCCGATTAATGCCCAAGTATAAACCTTAACCGGGTGCGGTACATGGCAAGTATGTTTAAATATCGACTCAGGCTGGTTCATGTACCGCTACTTCGATTGTTTGTAACATTATCTAGCGGTTGGTTTTGGTGAAAACAACGTTCTAAAGCTAAAGTACTTGCAAAGAGAAATGGTTTTGATACTTATGGGTGTTGCTCCCCCTAGCTAGAAATTACGACTTAATGCATCGAATGGACGTGTGTGGTGAGGGGGTTGTAAATCGTAGGGAAGTCTAACAAGTAGCCAAAGCTACCCTCTTAATTTCTAGGTCGAGGAAAGGGGATACAATCCAAGCCACCAACGTGACCCTCTCGACCTATTGAATAAGAAATGGTTAAACTTCACCCTCGAATCGGAGTTTGAATGACCACCCACAACCAAACCCTAGGTGCTAATATGAAATAGGAGGTTTGCCCTGCGTTAACCTAACTAGGAGATAATAAATTGCCTAAGAAAATCCATCATTCAAGCCTCTTTCAATAAAAGGAAAGAGGGTTTTCTCTCTACCTAGGTTAGAATGACAATTAGATTGATAGGCTTTCACACAATACAATCATTTATCAATAATACGTCCGCATTCACATTAAACACAACCACAACAAAAATCATTCAATCCATACAAGCATTCACATAATTGTAGCTAGGGTTTACAAACACCCAAGTGAAATAAGGGACTACTCCATGCTAGGAGAAGGGAAAACACAAGAGATAAGAAGGGAAACCATCCAAGAGATGCTAGCCTTGCTCCTGGTGTTGAAGAGATCCTCCTTGGGCGGAGGAATTCCCAATTAATTGCTTGAAGATGAAACCCTAGCTTTTGCTCTTCTTTGGTTCGTCACTTTCTCACTGTAGAAATCTGAATAAGAAGTTTCTCACACTAGGTCTCTCCCTTTTTCCTTTGGCTCAACCTCCTTTATATACCCAGATCGGGATCAGTTCACGATCTTAGTTCACGACCGTGAACTGAAAGCCCAGACCATGAACCAACGATGAAACACGCATGTAGGAAGTGAGAGGAACGCCTGGGGTGCCGCTCGCGGTCCAGACATGACTCGATCCGGTCAAAGCGTGCCTTCATAGCCTGCCAACGGGCGTCGGGTGGTGCAGCTGAGGAAGAGGTATGCCTCCATAACGCATCAGCGGATCACGCTATTCACTCCGATCCTGAAGAGGTATGGATCCTCCCAGAAATAGTGCTTCAAGTTGGAGAAGAACTTGTGCTTAGAGTGAGTAGCAATCCCCTTTGGTAGCTGCTTGCCCACCAGATAATTTGCCAGATCAGAATACCAAGGGGTGACACACTCCACCAAGCACAATGCAGCAAGCGCTCGTCTGGGAAGGAGTCGTTAATCTCTTCCACAAAATTGTCCACTAGGAGGCTTCTAATAGTGAAAGATGATCTGCAGCAACATTCTCGGCTCCCTTCTTGTCCCCGGTCTCTATGTTGAACTCCTGCAGTAGTAGGATCCAACGGATGAGCCTCGATTTGGCGTCAGCCTTGGTCATCAAAAATAGAAAATGGCCAAGTGGTCGGTATAGACCACGACATGAGGAAGCACCAAATATGGTCGGAACTTGTCGAAGGCATACACCACAACGAGCAACTCATTTTCGGTGGTGGTGTAATTCTCCTACGCATTGTTCAAGGTCATCGATGCGTAGTAGATAGACTGGAAATGCTTATCACGTCTATGACCAAGAACAACTCCAACCACATAATCACTCGCATCGCACATTAGCTCGAAGGGTAGGGACCAATATGGAGTCACCATGATGGTTGCATGGGTAAGCTTCTCCTTCAAAGTCTCGAATGTAGCTATGCACGTTGGAGTGAAATGAAATGGTGCGTCTTTCTCAAGCAGCTTGGTAAATGGCAAGGCAATCTTCGAGAGAAATCTTTAATGAAGCGCCGGTAGAAGCCTTCATGACCAAGAAAGCTGCGGATCCCCTTCACAAAAATAGAGGGAGGTAGCTTACTGATTGTCTCTATCTTCGCGTGATCTAACTCGATCCCATGTTTGGAGATCTTGTGCCCGAGCACGATACCTTCACGAACCATGGCCCGAGCGTACTTCTTCAGCAAAGCCACTAGACTACTCTTTTGCTCAAAGAAAAACTTATTCCCCTCCCAGAGAGGAGCTTATTCCCCTCCCAGAGAAATGCGTACTCCAGATGAGCATGGAGGGGTTTAAGCTCGAGCTCTAGTGGCTCCTCCAGTGTAGTAGAGATCCAGGGCGAGATATGGATCGGCTTGAACGGCTTCTCTTGCCCATCTGTCTCGGCGCTCTCCAGCTCCGCGAGCTGCTCTTCCAGCTATAACTCCTGTGATGCCTGCTCCCCTAGCAAAAGACAACGCTCGAGGAAATCGTTATTACCCACACCGGTGATAGCGAGTGTGGTCTCATAATCAACAATCACATCATAGTAGTCTAAATCATCATGGAGCTGGGGGTGTTTCATATTATCAGTGATAGAAAAGGTGATTTGTTCGCCCCCAACCCACAAAATCAACTTGCTATCATTTACATCAATAAGTGCCTTGGCGATGGCAAGAAATGGTCGTCCCAAAATCAAAGGCACTTCCACGTCCTCATTTATATCAAGAATCACGAAATCAGCAGGATATGCAAATGGTCCTACTGTTAGGAAAAGATCCCCTGCAATGCCCTAGGATGCACAATGGATCTATCAGCTAACTGAATGATCATCCTAGTATTTCTGGGTTCACCTAGGCCTAGCTTCTGAAATAATTTATATGGTATGACGTTTATGTTAGCGCCTAAATCCCCCAAGGACTTTCCTACATGCAAGCTACCTATGATGCAAGGGATAGGGATAGTAAAACTCCCTCTCTGGGTCTTTGCGCTTTTCCGGTAGCTTGTTATACAGCATGGCAGAACACTCCTCATTCCGCATCAACGCCGTGAGCTCCCCGAGCTTCTTCTTGTTTGTGAGGAGGTCCTTCTTGA